AATCATTCATCCCAAAATTCTTTCTGATACAAATTATAACAAGGAGGGTCCGTCACCTATATTAAAGAGAGCTAAATGATTAAGAAAACAATTCAGTCCTGAATCATTCATCAAATTTTGAAAAAATAACATAGTTCAGTAAATTTACATAAAATGATTCGAAAATTGTCACTCTTGCAGAATAGTCCAAAGCTTTGGAAGTTTTCAGACTTTTGGAGGGGAGTCTAGAATATGTCCAGGTAAAAGATTAGTCCGACTATAGTTGGACGTTATCATTCACCAGCTATCTCTAGGATACAGGTATAGGATATGCATTCTCTTTGATTCTAAAGTTCCCTGTTGAGCACTTGATATCATATTTCTAATGATTTGTTGAATCAAATATAGGTGAGAATTTATCAATTCTAATGCAAAATTTTACTATCTTCCTCATCCAAGGCCAGTAGATGGAGCTGTTATGAAGTTAGATTCACTCTGGTGAAGAAACCTTGATAGCAAAAGAAGATGTCAATCTATAATGCCATGTTGAGTGATGTCTAACATGTCTATTTTAGTTTCAGGGACGAGTTTGCGTTATGTACTAAAGTTTGTTGAATGTAATGGTTATGATATAAATCAATGGATGCTAAGATGGATGTAATCTCTAATGTTTATTGGGAATATCTAGAATGAAATAACGAGAAGAGGCATGATCTTTCCAATTTACGGGTTTTCTTCTAAACAAGAAAGCTGTCCCTCCAAGAAAATTACAAATAGACACATAAAAAGCAAGGGAAAATTGCTTCAGGCCCACTACACTTAGATACGCTCACTAATTTCACCCATGGACAATATTTTCCAAAATTTCACCAAAGGTGAAAGAACAAAAAATAATAATAATAATAATCCAGGGAGTCTAGCTGCAACAATGAAACTACAGGGGCAATAAGTTCAAAACAACAGTACTACACAGGATCTATGTTCAATTAACCTTATCTTTTCCCCTCATCCCTCATATCTCCACAGCTATGCCTCTTATTAACAGTTTAACAAGATGTCAAACAGTGGCTCTGAGGACAAACGTTTTGCCTTAGGCTACTCATTAGGTCCCTAAATGGATGCAGTCTTCCTTGACTACCACTACCACCGGCTTTATGAGCTTTCAGACTTCTGATGTTGCCATTTTGAAATCTCTATCACTAAATTCTCCTTTTTTTTCACAAAGTGAGCATTTATTCTCCAATGAGAAGCTTGGTGATGTTGTCTTCGTTATGGAATGGGTAAATATTAGCCCACATGTTCCTAATTCGTTTTGTTCACTTCTTTATGGATATGTTTGTCTTTTTTTATTGGGAAAAAAAAGATTAAGAATAGTAAATAATGATGTCTGTGAGAGCAAACAAGATTCCTTTTCAATCTAGGAGTTTATATAAACATAATACATGACCAATAAACAAAAATGCAGCGGTACTTATCAGATACAAATTTAATTGGTCCTCTCAACATGTAATATTTAACTCCAAATTAGTTAACTGTTTATGGAGTTTTCAGGAAGAAAAAAAATTCAGGTATGACGAAGGAGAATAATGAAGATGTTATAACTATGGAGGATAGTTCAAAAAAATTGAAGCACACTACAAAAGTTGAATAGCAATTTTTCATAGTTCTACAACATGTTACAAATTAATTCCATTTTCAAGAAGCATATGACTGTACTCTTTCTGCTCCGTCTAGGTGATAGAAGAAACCATAAGAGTGCCAAATATTTCCCTCAGTGCATTGTGTATCTCAATCGGAGATGTTGAATATGTTGATAAGTTCATGAATTATATAAGGCTAAATATCATTCTATACTTCTGTCAGAGCTGAAATTAAGGGAACATTACAGATTTTGTAACACTGAAAGGATGGCAAGTCATAGTATGGCCCTGATCCTTCACACTGACCCAAAGAACTTCAGAAATCCACTGACTTTCAGACCTGAAAGATGGGATGTCAGTGAAAGGACTTGGAGTTATTCATCAAAATTTTGAAAAAAAAAACAAATGGAAACATATTTCAGTACACTTACAGAAAATTATGTTACCTGATCGGAAGGAATTTACACTATCGCAGGATGTGCCAAAGACTGGAACTTTTCAGGTGTTCAGACTTCAGAGAGGTATCTAGAATATTTGCGGGTAGCATGCTGTGCCGAGCACAGCTAGTGGCCATTATCCTTCACCATCTATCTAGGACAAAGGTATAGAGATTTGTTCTCTTGATTTTTCAAAGCAAAGTTCCCTCTTCAGTACCTATGATCATATTCTTAATGATGTTTTGAAATGTAATGGAGGTGGGAATTGATCAATCCTGATGCAAAGATTGACCATCTTCCCATCCAAGACCAGTAGATGGAGCTCTCATGAATTTTGCTACTCTCTCGTGCAGCAATCATGACAGTAAAAGAAAAAACCAAGCTTTATGCCATGTTGATGTTGAATATGCATGCCTTAAATTAAGGGATGGGCTTGTCATCTGCATTTAGTCATTTGAATATAATGGTTAAGATATAAATCTATGGATGCTAAGATGGATGTTATCCCTCATGTCTTACAGGGAATATGGAGAATGGAAGAGACAGGTACATAATAATATCCAAATAAGGGTTTTCTTCTCTATAGACAACAAGAAAGCTGTCTCTCTCTGAAAATTACAAATAGACATAAAAATAATTAAACCATCTAGAAATCATTCGGATGTATTTTAGAGGAATTTTTTTTTATTAGAAACTTATCACTGGGAAGGGGAAGAGACCTGTTTATTTTTACAATAAAACACAAGCAAAAGGTTATAAAAGAAGAAATTTTCAAAATCGCCTCAACGGAATTTTTTTTAAAAAGAAATCGACCACATTCACTTTTAATTATAGAAATTGACCCACTTTGAGTTAATTACAGTACTAATTAGTCGGGGTTGCCAACCCCGACTAATTAGTAGCCTAATTAGCAGCCGCAAACCTTCCCTGCTCCTTGACCCCGCTTGTAATTAGGCTACTAATTAGTTGGGGTTGGCAACCCCGACTAACTAGTACCGCGATTAACTCAAAGTGGGTCGATTTCTATAATTAAAAGTGAATGGGGTCTATTTCTTTAAAAAAATTTCTGTTGAGGCGATTTTGAAAATTTCTTTGGTCATAAAAACTCAACCTGAAAATGGTACTAGAGATTAAACCATTCCTAAGATGACTAGATTCAAAGAAACTAAACGGAGGAGCAATCAAAGAAGAAACAAGAATCGCAAAATATGGAAATGAACAATGCTGAAATCCGAACTCTGAAGAATCCTGGTTACAGTGATTAACCTTACAATTTCCATACCCACTTGCAGTAGAGGGAAGCACCGGGATCTACAGTTAAACTAACTGGACAATTATTAGCAATCAAACAATATCAACTCTTTATTGAATGCTTTGACAAGCATTATGCACCTTATAATCAGTAAACAGTATGGGATGAATTGTACAATAATGAGCAATACAATTTATATGGACGCAAGTCAATTAAACAAAGTCTCCGCCTTTTCTGCTTCACAATACATGGATCACTTTCCATAGACACACTTGTGTTTCTATTATACTGATTCAGCTTCATAACTTACTCATACCAGCTACATAATGCAAGATTTCAAACATTATATTGAGAATCCTCCTAAAAGCCCACAATTGACATACGTTTTAGCTACTCCATGAAAGCATGATGTAGTTGGATTAAGCATCTGACAAAAGAATCCTCATATGAAGTTGGATTTGACCCAAGCAAATATATAAACTAAATCTCCCTACACTGATTTACCATTAAAGTGAATCCACTGCCACAATATACTCTAATATGATCACTTGTACGTCCTTTATATGTGATGTTTACAGTATGGGGGATAGTCTGGTCATCTGTGTTTCCAAGCCCAAGCTGGCCATGTTCACCCCATCCCCATGTCAATATTTTTCCTTTCTCTGAGACCAGAACAAATATAACATAAGAATATAAGAAAATAATAGAGGATTATAATTAGCCTATAGGTGGCTTTGGTTGGGTAGAGTACCAGTCACTAGAGCAGAATGCTCAGCACCTGCAGCAATGTACACGACCTTTTCTTCCCCAATGCAATGTATCCTCTCTAGAGGAGGTGACTGAGAAGATAAATCTGAAAAAGCCAGGTCTCTCTTAGTCGGGCTTAATTGGATGCAATAACTAGATAGACTATACAAACAATATTCGCTCTTAAAACACTATATTAAGGGAACTGCCATTTCCAAAAGGTTGCTCAATGAATTAACATGCATTGAAGATGCTCCTATACAAGATTGAAGGCTGCATAAATTGCTCTGAAACTAAAAAAAGATAGTTAAATGGTATTCTTACTATCTAAAGTATACTGAGCAGATGAAGTAGAAGGCTGCTGCTCTATTTTCAATGGTTGAGAACTACTAAGCAATCCATGGTGCTTCCCACCAAGCATATATGCTTCACCATCTGTGAAAACTTAACTAGATCACTAAACATGCTACTTACTAGATGTAAAACCCAAGGCTTTCGAGAAGATATCTACCAGCTATTAACAAAGCATGATTCCAACCCAGAGCAACTTGTGAGAACCTCAAAGACGAAGGCAGAATACATGGGGAATGATTACTTGAGCTCCCACCAAAACCCCTGCCCCATGTATACAACTGGCCATCAGCTGATTACAAAACAAACTGTTTTAGGTCAGCTAAAGACAAATGAAGTAATTGGACAAAGAATTGCAGCCATGAAATTTACCAGATAATGCAGCACTCTGATCTCCATTAGCATATATATAAGCTATTTTAAGATTCTCAAAGCCATAAATAAGTGTGGGAAGATTAAACGATCTCACTTTGTGAGACCCAGATTCAGAGGCCCCAATTTGACCATGTTTTGCTGAACCAAAACCATAAATTATACTTTCTTGAGGTCCTGCACCGTGCAAGTTAAATGGTTATGTGCATAGAAAGCCTTGAACATATTACATCTGTAAGCAACAAAGTTTTTGCAGATAGCTCCATCTTGTCAAATTTCATGATGAAATAAAACATCAATACATAACATACAAATAGATCACTCCAATACATCTGTTCTGATTGCTTCTAGAACATAACCAAAATATTTCAAACAAGACTCTATCTATTTACTACCTTTTTCGAGTAAAAAGATTTTGTGTAGGTTACTAATCTTTATTGATTTTCTACACTATGAGACAAACTGAAACAATTATTTCTAGAGTAACAAATTTCGAATAGGAAAATGGGCTCCAATATGTAAATTTTTACATTGCTACATTTTTTGCAGTCTCCTATATGCCAATAAATAGGTATCAGTTTTTGGATATTAGTCAATTCAGAATTTCTAGTTATGACATAGCAGAAAACTGACACCTCAGATATGAATGTGCGCAAATCTTCCAATTCATGATTGCCAAAAGCGTCATTAATGATACAAAGAATGGATGTTATATACCAGTATATATCTCTCAAATTTATTGACATAAAAGTACTGCCTTTGGATCGCAAACTTTCTACCACCATGCTGTGTTTTCTGTCTTAATGGTGTAACTATAGTTGCAAAAAAACTACAAGAGAAATAGAACCGTTATAGAGGAATTTACGGGCAATTATACAGCTAATTGATTCGTTTACCCCTCACAAGGACAAGAGAATGCCGCATCCCACATGCTATTTGCTCCACATGCTCAGAAACAAAGTAGGAAACTTCAGTGGGGGAACTATGTGACTGGTGATCTCCAGTTCCAAGCTGTCCAAATGACCCATCTCCACACATGAAAAGATGCCCAGAAACTGAAAAGAAATACACAATCACATGTGTGAGAATGACAAGCCCAAAGATGATGCAACCAGTTATAAGAATGTTTGGAAGAGAACTTTAGAATATGCATCTTAATCGCAAATGTTAGTACACAATAGGTGATTATGATGGCTTATTAAAAAGAGGAGTGACTGGATAGTACACGATTTATTTAGTTATAATGCATGGAATACTCAAGTTTTAACTTTTTCCTGCATGTGAAAGTTGGATCTGTTAGGTATCAATCTTTGGTAGACTGCAACAAGTATTCTTCCAGTCGTTAGTAGATACTTTTACATTACAAAGCTATTTGAATCCAAGATACTGATTCCAATCTTTTTGCAAAAAGAGACCAAAGTAAAAGAGGGCAAACACAGATATACATAAATCAGGCAAACCGAAATACAACCTACAAAGACTTTACTGATATTCAAGTGAAATCCAACAAATTCATGATGGGAATATCGGATCGTACTTGCAACTAAAATACCATGGAGGAACACACATGAATCATGAAGGCTTCTATACTTAGTAAATCAGAAGATATACTTCCAAGAATACACTGAAGTTGCCTTGTCGCTTGTCAGGCATGAAAAAAATAGTGACAGTACTCCCCAATTCATATGAAGAATAGATGTCATGTAAGGAAAAGTAAATATTAGTAGTATTCATTCTAGCATGGCCACCAATCAAAAAAACAAATAAAACTTCTCTCTGTATATCTTCCCACGATCATCTTACAACTTCACAAATTAGGAACCTTGAGATTAAAAAGTCTTTAAAAAAATTACACCAATGATGTTATTGAAATCTGAAGAGAGAAAAAATGTATAATCAATTTCCTTTTGTGTATGCATTTAAAGATGGTATCCTGTTGATTATAAATGCATTCAAGTTGGAACTATGAACATGCTTGGCAAACGGTCAAAGTGGCTTTTAAGCCACTTTGAGATGTTTCGCAAGCAGCTTATTTTGGCTTATAAGCCACCAGAAAATAAGCTAGGGTGTCCTACCTTATTTTTTGGTGGCTGTAAGTCATGAGGTTTGACCAAGACAATTGTACCCCTTATGATTTCACAAAATCCAATATCTCATTTAATAATTCACCATCAACCTCATGTCTTTTTTGGTCATTTTGACAACGGTGATGGCTTATAAGGCACCCATTTGCCAAACAGCCTACTATTGGAAATGATTATAATCCACTAAATTTACCAAGCACTTTGGCTTACAATCCATTTGTGGATTATAAGCCAAGTAAATTTTAATCCAAGTTGCCCAACATGCTCTGTAAGTGGGTTCTTACCGTAGCAATCCACATGTGAACATATATCAAGTAACTCGATGAGACTTCACATTTTCCACTGTGTTATAAGAGATACTGAGTGAAACCTAAGGGAAAAGAATACCAGATCGACAAGGAAAAGCTAATAACACTTCATGGGATGAATAATGCCCATCATTAACAAGGACATAAATAAGTTTCCACTTTAATGTGAATGGAGACTAGAAAAGTTTTCTAGAAGTTAATCTCAAGCTTAGTTACCCACTAGGTATTTGACGATCAGACATGCAGTACCTGTAACAAATCCAGAGTGGTTCCATCCAGCAGAAACATTGGTGATAACAAAGCGGTCAAGGGATTCAACATGCTTTGGCTTCAAGCAGTTAACTACCTCGCCATGTCCAAGCTGGCCTTTTGTACCTCTTCCCCACGTAAGCACTTTACCATCAACTATGAAGATCAAGATAGATCGCAATGTAAGCGTTACAATCATTTTACATTGAACAAAAACAAATTTCGCACATTAAAGTTTTCTAATCACTTTACAATAAATGGTCAAACTAGCCTTAAATTTCTTAGAAAGAATGTGAAAGAAAAAAAATTAGGATCATTCCAAATAGTTGATTTGGCGCAACCGTAAACCTACTATAAGAAAAAGACCAAGCTGTCACCTGCAGGCTGAATCACAGGTTATGATGCTTCAAGTAGTCTTCTCAAATAAAGCAGTACATCTTACAGAACCTTAAAACATTAATTGATTACAAGAGAAACATTACCATGTTCTGCAGTCAACATGGTTCAGCAATTCCATGTTTGGTCTAAGTATTAGGTCTTCTCAGAACTCAGAAACTAGATTAACAGTTACATATGCAGAGCAGGCTTTTGCACCAATCAAGGGAAAAAACTAACAGATGTTTCACGCCCTTATCCCAACATATTTCAGGTAGAATAAAGCCTTCATTTATATTCACCTCTATCCGGGCCATCTCCCCTAAATAAGCAACCAATTCTTATATAATTCATATACACTTTCACGACGTTATGGTGAGAGGTTGAGAGTTATAATTTTATATTTTATATTCTAACATTCCCCAGCACATTGAGCGTCCTTTTCATGAACTGCAACATGTACTCACACACCGGTATGAATTTTTCTTAAAATCCTTTTGAAATTCATGGCTAGTGGGAATTGAACCAGGGTGGTCCTGAAGTTATGGTGAGGGTTGAGGGTTGTAATTTTATATCCAAACAGAATTACACCACCTTAAATAGGCACGCCATGTACTCACAAATTTCACTTTTATCCTTCCATTTGCACTTACATCCATCTTAAGTATCTTATTTCAGTTACAAATATTTGTTGAGCATGTTGTTTCCATGACATTCACAATATTGATACGGATCACCATTTTCCTATAATGTTTGTCAGTTGTCTGTGATTTCCAATTTCTTAATTAAATTTTGATTTTGTTATCTTGTAAATATCATGACCTCTTACTAAAGCACCTTAATATTATATGTGCAACCCATATTCTCATTACTAGTGTTTATGTTAAACTATATCGACTTAGCCTTCCACGTTTCTGTGAACGCATCAGTAATTACATCTACGGTGCTACTTTTTGGGTAAATTCGAAGAATATTGTGTTTAATACAATGATTTCACAAATAAAAATTTGAATTTTCTTTGTGTAGCTTATAGTGAACTGCAGAACACTAATGTCCCCCCATTGACAACAACGCCAAAAAAAAGGAAACAAAAAAGAACTTTGCATTCTCCATCAGATCAAAATCTATTTCCTTGTATCAACCCATCACAAAAGATAAATTTCCTGAAGATTTCCACATTATACGATGTTAGCATTAACAACTCCAGCAAAGAGACTTCCTTTATACGATGTTAGCATCGACAACATCGCAATCATCCATATGCAACGAAAAAGAATCAATTTTTGAATGGTTGAGGGGACTTTGTGCAGAGAAAGTTACCGGTTAGGGCAATGGAGTGGGCCCCCCCGCAGGCGACGCGAGAGATTCGAAGGTCCGAGAACTGGTGAAGGGGTTGAGGAAGGAGCTGGTCTTCGAGAGTGCCGGTGCCCAATTGTCCGTCGGTGCCGGCGCCCCAGCTCCACGCCTCGACGGCAGCGCCGCCGTCATGGTCGTCTACTTCAACCTCTGCCGCGCTTTTCTCCGCTTCGCCGGCGGTCATCGTCGTTGTATAGAAACCCTTGTTGATTATTGGGTTTGCCGAGATGGGTTTTTTTTCGATGTCTACCCCTCACGTGGACAAATTTTTAAAACCGACCCATTTGTGAACTTAATCCCAAAAAACGACCTCATTCAAACAAAATTGCAAAAACCGACCTGGTTTCAGCCTCAGAGCTGAAACCAGGTGAGGCTGAAACCAGGTCGGTTTTTGAAAAAAAATTCTAAAACTTCAAAGGAGTTCAACTCCCGTGAAGTTTAGTAAATCTGCTAAACTTCACGGGAGTCAGTTTTGAAAATTTGTCCCTCTCACATTGTATCTACTTCTAAATTTAACCCCAAATCTTAATAATTTCAAATTTGCCATCCAAATTGGCAGATGTCCATAATTTTACCATCCAACCACATTGTTGTTAGAATTTTAATAGTGTTTATAAGCTAAATTACCTTTTTAACGTAATGTGAAAAGTTTTATATTTTAATTTTTCCGTGAAGTTTCATAGTTCAAAAAAATTAAACTAAACCCCCGTGAAGTTTAGCAGATCTACTAAACTTCACGGGAGTTGAACTCCCGTGAAGTTTCAGAAATTTTTTTTTCAAAAACCGACCTGGTTTCAACGCTGAGGCTGAAACCATGTCGGTTTTTGCAATTTTGTTTGAATGAGGTCGTTTTTTGGGAATAAAAGTCTAAATGGGTCGGTTTTGAAAATTTGTCCCCCTCACATTGTATCTACTTCTAAAGTTAACCCCAAATCTTAATAATTTTAAATTTGCCATCCAAATTGGCAGATGTCCATAATTTTACCATCCAACCACATTTTTGTTAGAATTTTAATAGTGTTTAAGCTAAATTACCTTTTTAACGTTTTGTGAAAAGTTTAATATTTTAATTTTTTTTTTTGCATTAAAAAAAAACCAGATGCATCATTTTTTCCTTATTAGTTTGGTTTGGCGTGTCATTGACTCGTTCTTGAGTCCCGCGATGGAAGAGATCTCGAACGCGAACACATTTGTTTTTTTGAATTTTGAAAGGTTTTCTCCCCTAATATGCAATTCTTTTCCAAAAGAAAACTTTCTTTGAATGCTAGATTGTCTGTGTGTCGCTAAGTAAATGCAGCACTTGTTGACAAATCACCAACATGAGTATACTGCTGATAAACTTCTGCAAACAATAACATAAATTAAGGAAGAAATTCTCATAAATTACTACCGAAACATTCAACATGAACACGACAATTTACTAATGATGATTAATTGGTTTTCAAGAACTAAAGTAATTAAGAAATTTGCCAAGAGCCTATGGTAACTTCACCCAATAAAAGAGCAAAGCCGAAGCTCAATTTAATAGGAATCCTACCGTGCACCCAAGCAAATTTTTTGACATGATGCTAAGCACTTCTCATATGAAGAGACTGGGGGCAGGAAAGGATGCAACTGTTTTTTAATTTACATCTTTAACAATATATTAAAGGGTAAACCAGGCAATCTAAAAAAGACCAAGCTAACTTAAGAGAATATTCCATCCAAATTCTATGTAAGTTAACTTGAGGCATAAAATTAGAGAGAACTGACAATCTGGAGGGCAAATTTAAAATTATTAAAATATGAGGGGCAAATTTAGAAAACAGACAAATTGATGGATACATACCGAAGACTCCCTTTCAAATAAACCCTCCAAGCCATGAGTTTTTTTAAATTTACCCTCCACATTATATAATTCCAAACTTCCCCTCAAATTGCCTCGTTCACTCAAATTTACCCCGCACCTCAAGTTATGTTAAGGTTTTGACACTTACGAGGGTTAAATTGCCTTTATATCCCTAGTTTAATTGTTTTCTTTAGAAAAATCAACAAAATAAAACCAAAATCACTGTAGCTCTAAAAAAAGGGGATCCGTTCACGAAACCAAACCAGTTATCAAAGAGAAACAACACGGCGCCTTTTCCCCCGCTCTCTCTCTGCTAAAAAAGTTCGAACCCAAAACATAGAGAAGTTTAGGGATTTTTTAGGAAGCACAAGAATTGAATTTAGGGCTAATACGAAGGCAGCAATGTCTCAAGAAGAAGGCCAAGTCTTGATTTCCCCGTAGACCTAGCTTTCGTCGAAGAGTTGGGTCAGATTGTTGTAGGATTAGAAAATGCAAACTCAAGGAGGGAAAAAAATATATGAGGCAATCCGGTTTTTTTCTTTGATAACGGCCTTAAAGGGTTTGGTTTTGAGATTAAGTGGATCCGATTTTTAGAGCTATAATAATTTTGGGCTTTTTTTTGGTTGATTTTTCAAAGAAAACAATTTAACAAGGGATATAAAGGTACTTTGGCCTTAATAACTATAGGAAAACTTAACATAATTCAAGGTGAGGGGTAAATTTGAGTGAACATGATAATTTGAGAGACAAATTTAGAATTATAATAATATGGAGGGCAATTTAAAAATAGCCATAATGTGGAGGGTATATATCGAAAAAACCCCTTGATTAGTTGGTAAGTAATAGAGAGAATAGTTATTAGGATCTTTTAGGTATAGTCCCTTATCTTTGATAATTGCATACTAGTCCATCAAATCATAAAGATTGCATATTAGTCCCTCAAATTGTAAAGGGTATTGCAACGTGGTCATTCAAGTGAAATCATGTTAGATTTAAGGAGAATATTCGGTTAAAGCTAATGATTGGAGCCAAAATGACCATTCTATCCCTCTATTATGCTCCTAAACCCATTCTTAATATGTTTAAACCTAATACCCGCTTAAAAAATTAAACTCATTTGAGTTATTCTCTGAGGTTGCGTTTGGCAAGAGGTTAAATGGAGGGTTAAGGGGGTTTAACCCTCCATTAGCCTGCCAAACAGAAAAAGAAACCCAAGTAATAACAAACCCGCACGTGACGTTTTTAACCCATTTATCCCGTAAACACAAGGGTTAACTAGTACTCGTGAAGAGGCGGAACAATGCTTGTTCCGCTCTTCATTATCCACACGCTTCCCCTCGTGGTCGGGCAGGGGAACAACTGCGGATTCGGGATGAGGGGGCAGACGTCGAGGTTAGGGCCTGGGGTGCGCAAGGGGTTCGAAGGGGGCCAGATGCCTCTCTACCGCCGGCTTCCTAAGCTCCGGAGATCATTGGAGCTAAGTAATTAATTAATTGAACCTCACATCTCCTGGCAGTTTGCTTTTCTATAGTGTAGGATTATTTTCTTGTAAACCCCCAGTTAGATTAATCTCCTTGCCCCATTATTCATTTGCCAAACGCAAAAGAATTAACCTCTTATCTTAACTATCGAATCCAAACGGAATAAGAATATTTTTAACCATTCGTGATGGGTTAACTAAGTTAACCCTCCTCCTTAATTCCTCTTCCTTATCCCTTTGCCAAACATGGCCTGATGGTTTAAAAAATCCTAACCCAAAGTTGAGCGTCACAAATGGTTGAAACTTTATAAAGAAGGGTAATTTCGCTTCACTATGTTTGAAACATTAGAAAGATGGGTAGTTTGGTAATTACAGGTGTTAAGGTACGAGCAGTGGCGGAGCTAGGGCTTCCTTGCCCTGGGCAGCTGCCCATAGCAAGAATGCGGCCGGCGATGATGGTGGAGCCGGGTTGCCGGAGGAGCTAGAGCTTTTGCTTGGGGTGGCTACCGCCGGCCCGCCGGAGCGACATTGCTTGAGTCCATTAGCTGGATTGAATGATCGAATGGGATGAGATTGAAGTGAAATTTGAAGAGATGGGGATCTTCAGTTTTATTTTGCTACTCTATGAAATTGAGAGCTTCTCTCAAATTGTAGGTGTATTTAAATCCAGCAACTGTTCTTCTCAGCCTCCTCTACTTCCTCTTGCTCGACACAATCCCTTTATTTTTCGCCCAGGGCAAAAAAAATTTCTGGCTACGCCACTGGGTACGAGCTAACCCAGCCATAGTAGATTATTAACTAAAATACTAACAAAGTGACCATTTGCAAGATCCTATAAGGTTTGAGAGGCTAATATGCACTTATTGAAGATTTAAGGGTCTAGTGTCTAAAAACCCTTAGTTATTAATATTAGGATTTTTAGATATTAGTCCCTTACGTCCTCAATAATTGCATGTTAGTCCCTCAAACCTTGAAAATTGCATATTAGTTCCTCGAATCTTTAAAATTGCATATTAGTTTATCAATTTCTATAGGGTCATGCAAAATGGTTCTTCAAGTTAAATCACGTTTGATTGGGGGAAATGTTCTGTCAAATCTAACTATTAGAGGCAAAATGACTATTTTACACTCTATAATATTCCCTAACCCATTTCTTGATAGGTTTAGATCCAGTACATGCTTTAAAAAAAATCCAAACTCATATGAGTCTTTCTTCTTTAATTGTTAGCAAAAAAGTCCTAACCCAAAGTTGAGCTTCACAAAGGGTTGAAACATTATAGAGAAGGGTAGATTGGTGATTGCAAATTTTTGGTTAGGAGTTAACCCAACCATGATTAGATTTTTTTTTACTGAAATTTTGACAAGGGAACCATCTTGCAAGACCCTTTAGAATTTGGGCCACTAATATGCAATTTTTAATATATGAGGAACTAATATGCAATTATTGAAGACTAATATTTAAAGTCTACTAATATTTGCGAACTAAAAGAGATTGAGTTTTCTTTATTGTTGGAAGAATTTCGTGGGAATAATTTCTCAAAACCACTAGTTAAAATTCACAAAGCCCCCTTTGACTTTGAGATGCTTACCATGAAATCCCTAAACCTTTTTATTTCACTGAAACCTCTAAATTTTTGGGTCTCCCACAAATCCCTCTTGAATGTTTTTTATTTTTTTATTATTTTTTGAGATAACCCAAAGGACAAAATTATTAGATTGGTATATATTTTTTTGATATGATAGATTGATATTTTTTTATTCCGACACTAGTATGGTATATTATGTGAACCACACTGATAAATACTCTTATTCTTTCGCCAGAGTCAAAAATTTGGCCTTATGGATGGAGTCAAAATTCTGTCCAAATAGGATCATGTGAGTTGTCACATGCATTCGAGATGGCTACCAACATGGATAGTAGTTGAGATCATT